TGTGTATTATAGCTATGCTATACATGTGATTGTGTTTATTGTGCGTCAGATCCTATTATACCTTTACCTGGCATTTGTAGGTTGTAGAGGTTGTAGGTTGACCAAGTGACAGCAAATGTACATTCAAAAGTAATCAGTGTGAATGAAATCTTATAGGAGATTCACTACTGGTAGCTTGACTTTTCAACAAACATATTACTATTTTATCATTACAATATAAAATTGCAAATTATTGAAAATATAGGGAGATATTTAGTAATAGGGGCCCTTATAGTCATGACAAAAATCTATTTAGCTGAAAAAAAGAAGAAATGATATGTGAAGCAAAGAAGAAATTATATGTGAAGCTTTCCTGATAATTCAGTATAGGGCAGGGGGAGGTAATTAGTTTGGCTAGAAGGCTGCTTAACGAGGTTTGGTGAGCTGTTGAGGGCTGCATGGATAGTCCTGTCCCCTGGTCGGCAGTTTGGGAATGAAGTCCCACCCGTAACCCTGACCTTTGTTACCTGAAGTCCCTCTCTTTGCCCCCTGGAAATACTCCTTTTGGGAGAGGGGGCTGCCATCTTAGAACCAGAAAAAAAACAAATCATACACTAAAAGTCAAACACCTACTGTAATATATTTTGATGTTATTACAAAAAATACTTTCATCATGATTTGTGTTTGCATATTGTATATAGGGAGGATTGCATAACAACTCAATAATAAATTCTTAATCGTGTAGTGTGCATGTGCGTGGGGTGGGAGTTTGAGGGGTGTGGCTGTGTGTTGGGGGGCATACAGTATGTTGGGGTATGTGAGGGCAGGGTAGGGGTGTATGGTATTTATGGGTTGAGGGAAGGTGGCAGGGGTGGACCCTCCACACTGTCCCCAGGATGCAACACCAGGCGGGGGCAATCGGGGCACTGGTGCCTGATTCTGGCCAGCATGGCACATTGCAGCAAGGGGCACAGCCCCACTGGACTGTCTCTATTGCCAGGCCTCTCTACCATGCATGCACAGCCCCTGCACTCATGCATCACGGGAGGGAAGCCCCACATACTGGAGCTGGCTGCCTTCTCTGCTTCCTACCACACAGGTCTGGGAGCAGGGAAGGCAGCTGGCTCCAGCCCATGGGGCTTCCCCCCCAGTATTGCACAAGTGCGGGAGCTGTGCACGCATGGTTGGGAGCACTGGTGATAAACGGCCCGGCTGGCCACAATGTGCCGTACTAGCTGGAGCTGCATGCCGGGCACAGGCACCTGAACTGGGCATAAGCACTGTCGCCTGCTGCTGCTGCCACCGCCTCCTGGGGCTGCGCACCATGGGGGAAGGGGGGGGAAGAAGTATGGGTGGATCCCCACACCCATATCCTGCCTACCTGAGCTGTGCTGCAGCCACCAACCTGGGCATGGGCTCCACGCTGCAGCCAGCCCCAACCACACGCTCTGTGCTCCTGCCCAGCTGCAGCTCTGCCCTCACCCCCGCTGCTTTTGTATCTGCTGCCCAGACTGAGCAGATCGCTGAGGAAGCCAAGCAGATCCCTGGCAGTTGCAACAGCAACAGCAGCAGCCCCACCTGGAAGCTGCGTGCTGCCCAGGCTGGGCCCTTCTGTCCGAGGGTGGGAGCGAGGCACAATAGTGTATGTTGGGGGGCGTGTGTATACATGGGCACCTCGCTCCCACCCTCATAGGCAGAAAGGCTGGGCAGGGTACAATTCACTGGTGGACGCTGTGGGCCGGATCAAAGTGCCTGGCGGGTTGGATTCAGCCCACAGGCTGTATTTTGCCTGCCCCTGCTATAGGAACTCAAGAATGTGAGAATGAGACATACAAAAAGAAGAGCCCAGGAGGAAGATCTAGACTGTTCCACAATCATATAATAGAGGATAAATTTAGGGATACAAAATAAAACAATTAAGTAAATGTATTGCCTTACCCTACTCTATTATTTTAGACAAAAATGTGGTTTCTCTGCAATTCGCATCTGTGAATTCACTATTCTTCCTGCTTACCTTACAAACCATCATTCTTTCACCACAAAGTGAACAGAATGCCTTTCAGGCCAGTGTTAATTTCAAAACCCTTCCTTTTTTCCAGGTGGGCAAGCACTCAGCACCCAGTTCATCATTTTCACAAGAAAAATGATCTGTGCATTCAACATTTATAAATTCATTCAACAGCAATCCAAAGTTTCTTTAAAAATCACAATCTAAAACACACAGATTTAAAATATTATTAAGCTGCTTAATAGCAAAAAAGGAATAGCTTTACCTGGCACTGATTAATGGCTGCATGGTTACCATGGAATGGAGACTGTCTTTCTTTATCTCGATGATGCCTGCTGCTGTGCTTACTTCTCTGCAGTTGTTGACGCAATTTTGCAATCTGACAAAGCAAAGTGTATTAGACTTCAGTTAGCATATTTTGCATCATAAGGTGCACAAACAACTGCATCAAGTTCACTTTATGGACTATTTAAAAAAAAAAAAGGTAATTCCTTCGAATACATCTGTAACATTGGGAATCTTCTAATGTGTGCTAGCGTAAAGCTAAATCAGTTACCTACAACTATAGAACCACAACACTAAAATATTAGTTCTCATTTTAAAATCAAGATCTGCAGGAACTTCTAGCACTTTCTTGCTGCTTTCCCTCACAGGCATTAATAACTAGTGGTTTGTAGCATGATCTTATAAATTAAAAATAACAGCTGGCCCAAGGTATATTTTAAAATACAAGATTAGAAATTCTGTATTTCTATTTTCTCTCTCACCAAACTTTACACAGCACATCAGGACACTTCAACATCCATGCTTATTTAAAGCTAATGGCAATGATGTATACAGAAAACAGGCTTGACCCAACATATTTCAAACAATAGCTTTCCTGACCTCCTTGAGTTGGTCTGTGCTGCCCCATGATGCTGAACGCTTGTGAGAACCTCTCTTCTTTTCTAAATATTCTTCAGCCCAGGCACTCTCTGTCTGCAGAGAGATTACAAAACTTATTAAAGAGGGTCTTGTTTATTCTTCCTAGAGAGTCACAGACAAATTACAGGACTGAAATAAATTATGATCTTCCAGATTCAAAACACTCCTAGAAAACATAAATAACTGAATAAAAACCTTACGTGCCAGCTCTGATATTCCAACAAGAATGAGAATATAGGTCTGAACAACTGAATAGAGATTTTGAAACTTTTAGTCTACATAGCAGACCTCCCTCCCATTTCATATGTAGGAAAATCTTATCATCTTAAATATTACTCTAACATACATATAGTTTTTAATTTAAAACAAGAAAATAATTTGATTTATTATGTTCATATGGTATAGTGTCCATTCAGTTTAGTGATTAATACACCAGGTATTAAATTTGAACCTGTGCTGATGGACAGAGAATTTCAGTACTGTTGAGCTAAGTGAATAAGCAAATATTCTTGTCTATAGGCAACAATACACATTTAATGGGACAATATTAACCAACTATCGTGGGCTTTCAAAAGTTAGGAAATTCTGAAGTGCCCTAATTAAAGAGGTCTGTGCAAAATTCATTCAGGATGCTTGCAGGGCATTACATTATTCTTTACATTATGATACAGAAATATAGTATCATAATACTGTTTCACCAAATCCCTTGTTCCTTTAGAAGACAGAATAGTAATTACTTACTGAAGAAGCTGCTATTCAATGCCTTGTTTTATCCTCATTGTTCTGTACACAGCCCTTAGTATTTTGCTGCACACTATTCAGCACGTATTCTGAATATACAGAGGTTATTTACCAATAATTATTCTTAAATAGGTAACTGTGCATAATTATTTAATACAGTATGTTTGGTGTCAGATTGCAGAATACTGTTGAAAAGTTGCATCTCCTGGGAGGGTGAGAATTCCTGCATCAAGGCATTATCAACTAATACACCCTGTATCAGGGTGCAAACAAACCCCTTTACTACCTTAGTTCCTTTTCAGAAAGAGGGCTAAGGATACAGAACAGAATTCCGAAGCAAAGAGGAAGGTGGGCTACTAGTAACATGCAAAAAGACAAATCACAGAATAATGATTACTAGCAATTAATCTGTCATTTTGAGGGGCTCTGTACATTCCCAGTTGTGCGAGGTAAGCAAATAGTGAGTCAGAGTAAGGTAGGCAAGTTAAACGGAGATGTAACATCATTTGCGGCTTCCCAACAGCATCAACCATGCTTTGCTGTCCCAAGCTCTCTCAGTGAGCTGTATCCACTATGGGGATCAGTGGCCCCCCATGTGTCCATCTAACATAAAGACAACGGTTTCTACAGTTGCCCTTTCTGTGCCGAGTGATGGTTGCACACCGACATAACTTAGCTAGTAATCACCTGGAGAAATCCCTTCCCCAATACTAGGGGGGGAGTACATACATATGAAGTACATACATACTAAGGGACTTTCCCCCTTGCTTTCCCATAGTCCTTTCACCCCAGACTGCAGATTCCAAAGTCTAAGCCTGTGATCAAGGGCATAAGGAGAGGAAACGGAGCATCTTCAATATGGTTCTGCCAAGCCCACACAACAGTTTGGGACGCTTCATTCACTTCCCATGCGGCCATGTAATGAGTAGCATGAACTGCTCGGGAGGGAAGAGACAAAAGAGCAGTAGGCTCCCAGTTCATGTGAACCAGGTGCCCTTCTGTGTACAAACTTTGCTAACTGTTGCAACACTGAATACTTGCATATTTGCATGCTTCAGGTGCATTTCTGGGAGCATTCATCATATTGCCTTTATGAACTGGCCTGTGCTGTCCTCTTTTTTTCCAGAATTCTATGGTGTCAGAAAGAGAAAGATTTTGTGGCAAAGAAAATGTACAAGAGAAGTTTTCTATCTTTGCATGTGGGTGTTCAGTCTCCATGTGTTTTGTATCAGGAATCTACCCCTAGACAGTCAACAGGGCAAGTTATTTTGTTTTGTTCTGCAGTGTGACAAAAATAAAAATAAATGGTTTAGTTGTAGCATCCCTCTCCTCACAAACAAGGTTTGCTAAGAGCAAAGACAGTATGAAGTATCCCAAGTGGAATGTTTTTGCCCGACTGTTTTTCTCCACTCCTCCCCTTCCACTGGCCTTTCAGAGCTTTGGAGAGAACAAACCAGGGGCAAAGTCTGGCCCACTGGCTGGATCGGGCTGGCAGCAGACTCCATTTTCCAGCAGCCCCTGCCTGTGTGGCTGGGGCCAGTTTCCATGGAGACCCCAGCAGAAGTCCCAATGTGACAGGGTGGGGCTGGGGTTTCCCTGGAGACTGGCCCCAGCAGCGCTGGCAGGGTGCACAGCAGGGCAAGGAGCTGCTCCAGGGCTGGACTAGGACTTGCAGCAGTGACAGTGTGGCCTGGAGCCGGGGCAGAAACATGATTTGCAGCCTGCATGTTCCAAGTGGGAGCGTGCAGGCAGTGGGTCATGGCTCTGCCCTAGCTCCTTGCAGCAGTGACAGTATGGTCTGGAGCCAGGGCGGAGCCAAAATCTACAACCTACATGTTCCAACTAAACTCCTGCCCTGCTAAACTTATTGTTAGCTTAGACTAACCTCCAAAGACTGAATTGATTCAGCCCTGGACAAAGCTGGATCAGCCTCATAAACTAGATCATCCCAGCCAAGACTTTGTCTACCCAGGTCTTAAAAACCACCAAGGATGGAGATTCCATAACCTCTCTGGATAACATGTTCCAATGTTTTACTACCCTCCTAGTGAGAAAGGTTTTCCTAATATCCAACCTAAATTTCTGAACTCCATCATCTCAGGGTCACTGCTGCCCAAGTTGCCATCCACTACTACATTCCCCACCAATTCTTCCCTTTATCTGAGCAGCAGGCCAAAAGCACTGTCCCCAGGATAGTGGAGAGGAGGATCCAGGTAGTTAACCAAAGACTGTGGCGCTGGTGTCATTGGAAACGCTTTGGCTTCCATGACCACCGTCCGCTCTTTGGCGAGAGAGGCAGTGAGCTGCTGGGAAGGGATGGCCTCAACCCC